CCAGCCTGGACTTTGGAGTCTGAGTCATAGTGTCAGCTATTGCTGGAAAACCGCAGTCCATCTGTACCATAATGGCATGTGCCACTTACACCAGAACAGCTTCACCCTACCCCCGCCGATGGTCTCTTCAATAATGACAGCAAACAGAGTTTTAGGCCCTGGGCTCATGATGTGTCTGATTATTGGCAAGTTAATAATTGCTTGTGTCCCTCTGGTGTTAAGCGGCCAACGCAGGTGGCTTGATTTCAGATGGTGCCTGCTTGCTTTCGAATTCGCTCCAAGCAGGCTCTGTGACAGGGGACTCTAGGGAGAAGTTGTGCAAAAATAAGAAATAACTACATGTGCCCAATTGATCCTGCTAGCAATATTTTAGCCCGTCTCATTGTTCGGGATACGTACCCTGCACACGTGCCTGTGGCTTTTCACCGCATGCTGTTGCTTCTGTCTTCTGCTAGACCTGTTTTGAGGTTCTTGCAAGGAAGCTCAAGCAGTTAGTCCAGGCTCAGGGTAAACTTCTCAGTACCCAGATTGGTGAGCCCAATCTATGCAGCGTAACCCAGCCTGACTGTGTTACAGCTAGCAGCTTTTCCTCTGTAGCACGGAGTTATTTAGCAGGGATGTCCCTTACCTTTCTGTGCCCAATGGGCTGCTCCACTGTCCCTCTGCTTTGCTCTTGAAACGAGCGCGGTTTCTGTCTCCAGCTCCGTCTACAGTGGAGAGCCTTTTCTTTCCCACCGGGATCCCATAGGGGGCCTGCAGGGTCGTGGTGGTTTGAGATCGATTTCTCTGATTCCAACCACTTGCTGATCCAAGACCCCCTTCTGGTGTAAGTCCCCCAATCTGTCCCTCGCGTCCATTGTCTGCTGTTTGCGTTTTCAGATATTGACTGGCTCAGCAGTATCTCTCCTGCTGCTTCCCCTGCATGAGATTCCTGTTGTTTCCAGGGTTTAGAGGCATATGATAAACCACCCTAGCCTCTAGAGCCCAGCTTCTATTAATACACCTGCTTGGACTCAGTCCTTCCAATCTGCTGAGAGTGCAGAACACACGCTCCCTGCCCCCTGCAAGCAGCCATGGGCCGCATCCTTACAGAGCGACGGCTTCACGGAGACCCATCAGGAAGGAGAGAGGCTTTCTCCCCTTCTGTTTGTGGATGTGGCTGGGAAGGGGGTTCTGAGGGTGGTTATGGGGGCGCAGGGGAAGGAAAGGATGAGTTACAGACACATTTGCTCACGTGCACCTCTGTGCTGTTTTGATCTGATTTTTGTGTAGTGTTCCCCTTGAATTTAAAGCCTTTCCAGTCCATGCATCGGCCCCTGAAGCACAGACTTGTGTGTGTTATCTTTGAGACAACGAGTTGTTCACAAGTTGGGGAGCCTCCGGGTGCATGTGACACAGTCCCTGTCCCTTTCTTTCTCCATTTGTCTGGGAGCAGTTTTCAGGAATCCACAAGCTCAGGAATTTGTCACCTTCTCCACCGCTTCAGTGCAAAGTGAAAATAATCCCAAGTGTCCCTCGCAGCTCTCCGGGGAGAGCCGCAGGAAATGGCACTCTCTGCCCTCTGAATTCTGCAGATACCCAGAACTCCCCCGACGGCTGGGAGAGCACTAACTGAACACCCCCGCAGCTGTGAACTTTGAACTGTTTCATAATAATTAATGGTTCAGAATAGCAATGAGCAGAAGCAGCAGGAGACGGAGAGAAACTGTCTGCTAGTTTTTGTAATCCTGTAATCTTTGCACGGGCACTTAAGGCCTGTTTCTTTTCCTGAGGTGCTGAGCACCTGCAGGTCTGGTCGAAGTCAGTGGGAGCTGAGGCAGATTCAGAACGACTGCAAAACAGGCCCTAAAACCTTTACACCCAGTACATTGGCTTATTCTTATTTGTGTCTATAGTAACACCTAGAGGCTCCAGCTGAGATCAGGGCTCCATTGTGCTAAACCACGTACAGCCACTGAGGCCAGGTCTACACTATGAACTTACATCGGTGTAACTGTGTCACTCAAGGGTGTGAAAAATCCACACCCCGAGCAATGCAGTTATACTGACCTAACCCATAATGTAGACAGCACCCTGTTGCCATAGCTACCGCTTCTCACGGAGCTTGATTAACTATGACAGGAGAAGCTCTCTCACATTGGCATGGTAGCATCTCCACTGACGCACAACAGTGGCCCAGCTGCACTGGTGCAGCGTTTTAAGTGTAGACCTGCCCATAATAAGACACCTCCTCTTCCCAGCTAATCTATAGACCAGGCAGACAGAGGGAGGGAAAACAGAGGCCCAGAGATTGGAAGCGACTGGCCCATGGTTATGGAGCAGGTTGGTGACAGAGCAAGGAGTAGAACCCAGGTCTCCTTGATGGCTGACTTCAGACCGCGGTTGTAATACTTCCCCCAGGGGAAATCGATAACGTGACCTCTGCTCCGGGCTGCCTGCTGCGTTCACTGCTGATGATGCCTTTTTTGGTTCAAGGCTGTTGGGAATCCTTCCTGCAGCTACCAAAGGTAGAAGCTCCTGTACTAACCCATCGCTGTGTTCCAAGGAGACCTGCCTAGATTTTCCCTATTTATCTCTGTCCACCATGTGTACTGAGTTTGTCGTGGGTAGGACTATGCCATAGTACCTGCTTTTCACAGGCCATGAGCCCCTGCAGCTCTCGTTGACTGCACTTGGAGTTGCAGGTGGCTGCACCTCTGTAAACTAGACCTATAGCTCTCAGGGACAAACTTCGCTGTGTTGTAATTTTGTGATTCCCCCAGGTTGGTTTGAGGGTCGCCAAGTGGGGAGAGGAAGAGAGAGATCTTCGTTATTTAAAACACGTAACTAATGCTGTATCTTCTCCACGTTTGAGATCACTGCCACCTCCTTAAGTCCCTGAGAGATGATCTGCAAGTTTCCCAGCTACTCCAACAGAATGATTGAAACGTAACGGCTGGACAAAACCCAAGATCTGAAAGCTCCCTCCCATCCTGGAGCCCAGTTCCCATGCTGCGTGCTCTGAACTCAAACCAGGCCTTTTGCAGCTCCTTTTTAAAAATGCAGTGTTAATTCAAGTGTGAACCGCCCACAGACTTCTCACTCTTCTGTGCAAGCCAGTTCTAACTTTTAGTCAGTTCTCAGAAGTTTGCCTAATTGCCTGGGGAGATGGTGGGGCATGTTTCATATGATAACGGCATTTCGTTTTTGCTCTCCGAAGAGCAGTCCCTGTTCTGTTGCTCACAGACTGTGTGTTGCAATATTGTAGGCATCTGTGCTCCTAGCAGGCAAGTCTCAGACTGGCTGGCTAATTGATGCACAATGTCATATCCCGCACCCTTAAGAGTAGGAAACAAATACTTCTTCTTTTGGGGAAAAATCCCTAACCGGGCTTAGCTTTAGGAAAATGTCTTTTTGCTTAAGCCAAGGGTCAGCGTCACCTCTGTTAGCAGCACCAGAGTCCTAGTGGAGATGGATTGTCAGCTGGTTTGGGTGTGTTTTAAGCACCATCTCTTCTAACCCTGCTCAGAGGAGGTCTAAGGTGCTTAGTGATGAAATGTCAGTGGCAGCCCATCTCTGCAACAGTGGTATTGCTATAATATTTCCCTGGTGGAGTCGAGGCTCTAATCTGTCAGTACAAAGCTTCCAATGCTTTGATTTGTAGAAGGTGGGGGTGGGAGGGTGCATTAAGAACAGGTGGGGAGAGAATAGGGAAATCGGGAGAGTGCAGTTACAGTGAAAAAATATACTGCATTTAAAATGTAGTGAGAAGAATGAGCCAATGGTCCTTCCAGCAGAAGATCTCCCCAAAGCCAGGGCCAAGCTTGTCATGTGTGCACCTGGGAATTCAGGAACTGCTGGACTGAGACAGACCTGGAGTCCATCTAGTCCTGGGTCACGTCTCTGAAGTTGGCCAGTGCTAGCTGTCTATACTGTACCTACTGTAATGCCATTTCCTGGTGACGGGGATGGAGATGTCTGTGAATGCAATGAGCAGCTTTTACCTTCAAGTGGGAGGTTTTATCTTAGCCACTGTAGTTTCAAAGACAACTCTTATAAATGCCTAGCTGTGTATTTTAACCCTGCTGGCCCCTTTGTCTCAATTATATCCTGCAGCAGAGAGTTCCACAGATGAATTATGCATGTTATTCTTTTAAGTAGCAGAGGGAAATCCATCAGTCTGTGGGGCTTATTCAAGCGAAACCATTACCGAGCACCATAGGGGAGATGACCAGGGCCGCCCAGAGGATTCAGGGGGCCTGGGGTCTTCGGTGGCAGGGGTCCTTCTGCTACGGGTCTTTGGGGCACTTCGGCGGTGGGTCCCGGAGCGAGTGTAGGACCCGCCGCCAAACTGCCGTCGAATACTTGGAGCGGAAGGAGCCCTCGCGGCCGAACTGCCGCCCGCAGTGGAAGAAGCTCCGGGTCTTCGGCAGCGGGTCCTTCACTTGCTGAAGGACGTGCCGCCGAAGACCCACCGAAAACTCTCGTGGGGGCCCCTGAAAACTCTCGTGAGGGCCCCTGTGGGGCCTGAGGCAAATTGCCCCACTTGCCCCCCCCCCTCTTGGTGGCCCTGGAGATGACTGGTTAGTTCATATCTGTATAGCACTTAGCACGATAGATTCTCTTTCCAGATTGGGCCCTCTAGGCATTGCTGTAATACTGACAGATAGATCTCATAGGAACGCAAACTCTTGCTGCTGTGAGATTAGCACCCGATCAGCTCCTGGGTGCTTGTGGGTATTTCAGGACAGAGAGACTTTCACCAGGCTGGGTATGTTGTAGCCTGCAGTGGCCCATTTAACAACTGCAAAGTCTGAATGTGACTCACAATCCAGGTGAATGTGTGTGTATGTGTGTGTGTGGGGGGGCGTTTATCCCCGGGGTAATGGCAGTGCCTTTAAAAAGCTCCCGGGTAGGAGCTGCTTGCTTGTGAGCAGCTAGGCTCAGTTTTATATTTAGCTGGATACCGTAGTGATTCACCTCCCTGTGCTATCAGGTTACGCCTGGGAGTCAGCCTGCAGAGCAGACCTCTGCTCTCCGGGCTGGGTCCCGTTCATGGGGCGGCCCCTGGAATCCTCCCAGAGCCAGGGGAGATCTCGCTGAGCCTTGGAGAAGCAGCTCCCTTAGGAATCCACTCACTGGGACAGCCAGGGCAAAGCTGCAGGGTCGAGTCCCAAGCTCCACACGCTTCCTGGGGTTTGCTTGTAAAACTTGGGGCGAGGCATGGACACGAACGTGGTGCCCCTGGAGGGGGGCCAGCCCCTCCTGATGGGTCTGAACAGCATCGAGTTCAAGCGTCACCCCAAGGCCGTGAAATCTAAAAAGGCTGTTCTTTTCTTTGAGGTGGAGATCCTGGATGCCAAGACCAGGGACAAGCTGTGCTTCCTGGATAAGGTAGGCCCCTGCCCTGTGCCCTGGGGGCTGGGAGAGGGGGTGGCTGCTGTGGTTATTGTAAAGATGTCCCCTGGGCCCTGAGTCATTTCTCAGTGGGGGTGGGGTTGTCCCTTCCAGAGTGAAGCACGTTCTCCCCTCCCTTAAAACCATCCTGAAACTCCCAGGTTCAGAGACCCTCCTCTGCCTCCCAGCTACAGCCCCAAGGCATGTGGTCATGAGCGATGGGCCAGGTCTCAGCCTTGGGCTTCTGAGCAGGGAGGTTTGGCCACCTCGTCCCAGCAGAAGGAAGATCCTTTGGTGCACCAAGGCCTTTGTCTTTGTCCCCTTATGTGCCTTGAGAGGTGGGTGCTGCCTCTGCTCAGGGCTGGGAGCCCCACTGCCTTGCTGAGCCGGGACTGGGGTTTTCGGTGTGTTCAGAGCGAGCCAGCAGGGGTAGGGACGGTCTTTCAAGCGAGCCAGCAGGGGTAGGGCGGAGGGCTCAGGGGACTGACCGTGGGGGACACAGACGGTTTGAGCCCTTTGCAGGCTGGCCGTCGTTACGCACCTTGGTTGAATTTGCTGGGTCTGGGCCCAGTGCCTAGCAGACAGGCACCAGCATCCCAAAGAGTTGCCAGTGGGAGTGGCCCTCGCTGGCAGCCTGAGCAGAGAGGGAGGGGATGTTGGCGTGGGAACAGGCTCCACTCTGCATGCTGCCCTGGTGCTGCCCAGGCTGTGAGTACACACAGGCTTTCAGGGCTGTAAATCCAGCATCTTGCGTCAGCCTTAATGTAACACAAAATACTCCCATCTGGGGCAGGCTCAGATGCAGGGAGCCCCAGCCATGTGGCTGTGGCACCTTGGCCACATCCGGGGCTGAATTCTCATTCTGAAGAGGAGTAAATACATTCCTGGCCTGCCTGACTTCGCCTGCAGTTCAGGCCTGACCGATTTACACACATGTGGGTTAATTTGCACTGAGCTGGCGGTGTGTGTTGGGGGTTTTCTTAGAAAGAGAACAAAACACAAACTCTCGGTTTCTTTAGTTTAACAAGTGCCTGCAGTCTGAGGTGCTTGGTGGAGTTACAGTGGCTACACAGAATGTAGCCCAGCCTCGTGCAGTGTGGCGGTTTGTGCTGATTCCACCTGCAGCGTGTCGTCCTTCAACCACTTTATCAAATGAGATGGGGAGCCAGCGGGATCTGATGGCTAGAACCTGGGGAGGGAGACTGGGGTTCTAACCTGAGCTCTGCCAAAGCCTTGCTGTGTGATTTGGGCTAGTCCCTTCCCCACTGTGTGCCTCGGTATCCCCCCATAAGATGGGGATAATGCTACTCGCTCGCCTTCATAAAGTACCTTGGTCTGTGCAAAGGTCGGTTCCTCGGAGCAGGGAAGCACCTTCCTGTGTGGTTTGGACACCTAGCACAATGGGGGCCTTGATCCTGATTGTAGCCCCTGGGTGCTGGTGCAGCATGAACAGCGGTAACGATGACAGGCACGTGTTTTTAGCAGGGGTTCGCCATGGGACCAGGCTCCCAGGGAAGGGGTGGATTCTCTGTCTCTTGGTGCCTTCGAGACAGGCTGCCTTTCTGGACGATGCTTTAGCCAGACAAGTTACTGGGCTCAGTGCAGGGTGACTGGCTGCCAGTCTGTGGCCTGTGATAGGCAGGAGGTCACATGAGAGGATCCTGTGGCCTTTTGTGGGCCACCTGCCAGGAGGGTGTGTGGAGTCTCCTCTCCAGCCCAGCTACTAGAAAGAGGTAACTGGCTGTGTGGTCCGTACAGAGGGCTGGGTCCGTGAGAAACTCCTCTACCCGAGAACTGCCACCTCACACAGCATGCCTAGGAAGGAGGCCCAAAGGTGCCGTCCACTGCACTTGTGCTGTTGTTCCCTTCCCAGCCTGTGGATGCCCACATGATCTGCAGCCTAGGTGTAAATACCTCTTCTGCCCCATCACCAGATGCAAAGAGGCTGCAGCGTTTAACCAGACATGCCAGCGCTGCCCAAGCTAACCTTACTGCCATTCCTGTGTGTCCTTCATAGCAGCTGGTGTCAGCTGCCCAGCATCAGAGACCAACTCTCCCAGATCCTGTGAGACTCACTTCTGTCGTGTTTCCTCCCGCCTCCTCCCCCCCTCCCCCCGTTCTGAGCTGTTCCCTTTCCCTCTGGAGACCAATCTTTCTGTCCTGCCACTGCAGATCTTCTCTGTTTCTGCCACCCACCTAGCTGCTTCCCATTTCAAGCCCCACTTCTCTGCTGGCACCCATCAGTCACTGGTGCTTGCCCTTACCAAGCTGAATCCCAAAGCAGGGAGCAGCCTCGTCCATGCCCCCAAATCCTAGCTGAATGGACTGACTGCCAGAGGGTCAGCGATGGCTTGGAGTACCCCAGGGGCTGCCCCTGTGACACCTGCAGTCGCACTGACAGCCGCTGCTGGGGGAGAGATTTTCCCCTGCCTCGGGGAGGGAAGGGCCTCGGTCAGAACCAGAGCCATCCTGCTGGCCGTGCTGACTGAATGTCACCTTGATGGGGCGTCTCCTGGTTGCTGGCTGCCATCTGGGGATCACCAGACACAGCCAGCACCACGAACCTGTGACTCCGTTAGTGTTGCTGCTTTGAAGCGAGCGTCCCCTCGTGTTTTGCAGCATCTTCTCTGCTCAAGCAAAGGAGAGATTAGTTCATGAGCTCGAGCGCTGTCCTGCCAAAGCAGGTTGCTGTGAAGTGTCTTGGGGGCAATGGGTGTTATAACAACCCCTTGCTCTAATCTAGCACTTTTCATGCATAGATCTCCAAGTGCTTTACAAAGGAAGGTCGGGAGCATCATCCCCATTTTACACATGGGGAAACTGAGGCACGGAGCAGGGAAGTGACCCACCCAAGGTCACTCAGCAAGCCAGTGTCAGAACCAGGAGTAGAACCCACAGATGAGCCCCAGTCTAGTGCTCTATCCACTAGGCATCACTGCCTCCCTTGATGTCGGGTGCTTTGGCTAGCTATTGGGGAGGGCTAAAGAGGAAAGATTCCCCCTAAACTCAGCAGGCTTTGAAGTGCAGCAGTGCTGAGGTCAGCCACTGTGCACACAGCACCGTAGGGCCCCCATGCCAACTCTCTCCGGGCCCAATCCTGTGGGCAAACTGGCACTGGTGGTTTAACTTTGTGCCTGGGTGGGTAGGATGCCCCTCTGAATAAACCCGGGGTTAGTTGTAAATCCGTTCAGACTGGCAAGGAGGAAGTGGGTAAACTAAATATAGAGACGTGATTAAAATAATCCTGCGATGGGAGTGATCAGAACTCCTTCGTGTGCCCAAGAGGCTACCAGGGGCATTCAGCAGCAAGGCCTAAATCTCTTCCCTCTGCTGAGCTCTGGGCTGGGCGGTGGCCCCTGAGAATTCACTGCTCCCTTCGCAGGTCACCCACCAAAGCTGGGAAGCGCTGAGTTTCAGACCTCGCTCTGTCATGCCTGCATATGTGGCAACACAGCAGGGATCAACAGTCCAGGATCTCCTGTACCATGCAGGGCACCACACCTTGCAGAGGCGCAGTGCCTGGGATCCCAAACTTGGCTTTTTGTGGGTCCTCTAAAGTGCAGTCTTAAAAAGCGTCCCGCAAAGGGAAATGGGCAGGACCCCTTTTCTCTGCTGCTTTTAATGAAAGGGTGTCTCTGTTCGGTTGAATTATGGGTTAAAAGATTCTGATCTCATCCACTCTGGGAGACTCTGGTTTACTGGGGGTCTGTGGGCGTTGTGACAACCCACGTACCAAGGAAGTGAACTCTGCTTAACGGAGAGGGGAATTAATTCCGAGACTATTTAAAACTCTTTGGCTTTGTGGATACCTCTTCAGTGGAGTCACTTAGGAGAAATAAAATCTCTTCCTCAAAGATTCAGCAGCCCTGGCTCTTAAGCTTAATTGATATTAAGGCCAGCAGGGAGCATTGGATCATTTAGTCTGACCCCCTGTATAACACAGGCCAGGGAATGTCGTCCAGTTCTCTTCATAGTGAGCTCAGTCAATTTGTGTCTGACTAAAGCATCATCCAGAAAGGCCTTCAGTTCTGATCTGAAGAGCTGGAGCATCCACCACTCCCCTTGGGAGTTTCTTCCAATGGCTCCCTAGTGGTTCCTCCGCTTCCCAGCATCTCTGTGAGCAGCACAGACTTGAAGCAGCCCGGCACTGGAAACTAAGACAGGGGAGGACGGCGTCTGAAACTTTCTCCAGCCCGCCCTGGACTTTCCACAGGGCATCGTGAAGTAGCAATAGTGATCCAGCAGGAACATCCTGATGCTGTGGAGGCAGCAGGCCAGTGAAGCCATCAGCCGCCTCCAGAGAGAGAACTCCAAGCAGGTCCCTGCCAGCAATAATGATCAGCCCTCCTGCGAGGAGCCGATCTCCATGTTACAGTGGAAGAACCGAGGCACACAGAGGAGGTCGCACAATGAGTCAGTGGTAGAGCTAGAGAAAGAACCCAGGAGTCCTGATGCCCCCCCAGTCCACTGCTCTCTAACCACTAGCTAACCTTGCCCTCAAAGGAACTGAGGAGTAAATCTTAGTGTTATTTAAAAGGGAGGCTCTGCTCTGAAAATTGGCTGTAAAAATGGCCTTTCCGTACTGCACAGCTCTGTTCCCTGTGTGTGTGTATCGGACGGAGTCAGAGCCCCTGCCAAAAATAAGTTCTGGCTGCTTCTTGCTCCTCTTACCCCTGAAGAGTCAACACAGCTGCGGGAGAGGCAGCTGAAGTCTATGTCTTGTGCATCGTCACCAGCACTGTTCCAATCATTCACGCCTGGACACACCGCTAATGCGTTGGCATGGGCGTTGCTGAGGGCAGTCGCAAAGACGACTAGTGATGCATGAGAAGGAAAGAACCAGCTTGATTCTCTGATCCCAGGAGGCGGGGGGCTAAAGCCATCTTGTGCTGTGAGCCTGTTGGACCTAGAGGCGCTGAGAGATGGTGGCTGTGCGGCTGCATGGGGGCCATCTTACAGAGTCCCTTTTCAAAGCAGAACTGTCCTTTCTGTGGGTGCCAATCTCTTACTGACCTCAACGGCGGTCCTGCCCACAGAACTAGGGCAGGAGATAGCCTTATAGCAGAGCACTCTGCCCAGGATTGGTATGGGGATTGGCTCGGTCCTCCAGCCAGTGCCCCGTTTACTTGGTTTCTTTTCTTTTTTTGCACTGTGCCACGTGATTGAAAAGGCTTTAAGGAACCCATGAGCTCCCACAGCACATTCTGCCTTGCGCTGAATGTGGCTTTATTTTACTTTTCCTGATTGTTGTGTGCCCCCTTTGTCTGGACACACAGAAGTCACTCTCAGGCAGCCGTGTGGCCTAGGTACAAAGGGCAGGGCACTGCCACCTTTTCACTCTGTACCTGCTTCCCCTCCCTGTGTCTGTGTCCCAGTCGGTGAAATGTGGCTGCTGACACTGCCCCACCCAGCTCCCAAGGGTGCTGCAAGGACTGATTGACTAATCCCTGGTTGCAGACGGGGTGCGCTGCAGACGTGCTGTGCATCCTTGTCCATATGAGGAGGATCTCTGATGCTTAGTCACTTTGCTGACTTGTAAATTTCATTAGCCTGGCTGAGTCTAATCCCACATAAAATTGCAGCCAGGCTGGGCTCTTGCCATTGTCTCAGGATGTAAACCCCTAGCCCACGCTCTGGAGTACTCGCATCACAGTCCCGCGAGGGCCAGAATGACTCCTCCTGGCCCCGCAACGAAACGCACAAGTCCAGTTCTGCTCTGAGCAGCTTCGGTTTGTTTGGGTTCCTTTGATTTACACTGGCTGGCTGAGAGCTTTCTCAGGCGGGAGCCAGGTCTCCCCACTGTGGGAGTGGCCGTCAGCTGTTGTAGACACCCTACACCCGCACCTGCTTGGGTTAGCTGGGTTTGCAGTGGGCACAACCTCCTTAAATGTAAGTGTCTGGTCCGGCGGTGATTCACAGAACACCCGTTAGCCCAGGCACTGTCAGCATTTTGGGATCCGCCCAGGGAGGACACTGGGACTGAAGGTGGGAGGGGTCCTAGAGGAACAGAAGGTTCCCAGGAGCTGTGTATGAAAGCTGTCACTCTCAGTGAGGGAAACGGATGAACCAGCGCGAGGTGCAGCAGAGTGCTGATCTGTGACCAGCTTCACCCAACTGCTGATGTGCACAGTAATACGCAGCACTGCCTCGCATCCGACCCACTGCAGAGCGGGACGTGGACTCCATGCCTGCCAGGATTGGGCCCAGAGCTAGCGTGGGAGAACAGCCCTTCCCTTTGAAACCATTGTCCTAACTCGGAGTCTTGCAAACCCTGAGAGCAGCTGTGCTTCAACCGATGTACAGTGACTATCAGAGCAATGGCCTGGTTAGTCCAGTATCCCAGCTGCTTCCGAGAATGGAGCAGGAAACACCCCAGTGGAATTACTTGCCCTTGAAAGAGGTTTCTTCCTGAGCCCTGTGAGTTGGTGCTGACAGCTATTAGATGTGTTATGGTAGCAGCGAGAGGCTTGTTGCATTAATTTACACGGAATAAAGGGGCCCAAAGAATCAAAGGCGTTAACATGACCTGTCATTGTCCCGCATTAAACAACGTTAAACAAGGGGTGGGATTTGGCAGAGACTTCAGCCTGCATAGTACCCTGGCAAACACGCCATTAACAATCCTTTTAACGTTGTATTAAAGATAGAGAAAAGAAGGAAAAACAGTTAAAGCATTTGAAATGTGAAGTAGTAAGCCAGGCTTTCATTTCAACAGCATCCCTTGTTCCCTTCCCCTTTAGCGGGACAGAGTTTTTAGGAGGAAAAACCCTCTTGTCTGACAGTCACTTAGATGGTATCAAAATGGTGATAACCGTCCTTTGGGGGGAAAAGAGAAGAAGTGAGTTAAGAATGGGCTGGAGCAGTTGGTGAAGCTCGATCTCATTTCCTTTACACCAAAACAAGACAAACCCCCAAAAGGGGAGAGAAAAGAATAGCAAAGAGAGAAAATGCAGCTTCGGTCTCTGGGGTTGGCTCTCACTTGTCGCGTCACTGCTGGAGACACACGGGCCCAGCACACGGTCTGATTAGCCACTCCGAGACCTGGCAAACTTGTACCAGCATCGGGCAGTTCAGGGCATTGTGTTTAGTTGCCGCTCTCTGGTCACAGACTCATAGTTGTGTTGCAGAATAAGCAGTTGTGGCCAGCTAAGCCAGACTTTTATTAGACAGCAGGCAAAAGAAGTAAGAGGGGAAAGAGAAGAAATAAGGTGGGGAGGGAGGACAAAGGGTCACATCCCAGGTGGTATTTGGGATTCAGCCAGAGCTGGTGGAATTGGCGATGTCGTCTGGCGTGGTCTAGTCAGGACATCTCTCAGGATCCGGAGTCTCAGGAGATGGTGCGGGTGGCAGCTCACTCAATAGCCAATTTTTTCTCCCCAAAATCTTTCTTTGAGGACCCCAAAGGGAGTGGTGGGTGGAATAGCCCAGCCCCTCATTATTTTGTCCACCGGTTAGACCTGGTTGGTTCACTGAATTCTGGTCCCCCACTTTTCGTGTTTCCCAGGCATGATCTTAACTGTCCTTGAGTTACCTCGGGAGGCCTTTCTGTTTGGATAACTCAGTGTCTCTCTTTTTTTGCACCTTTTCCCATCAGCATATATTGTTGTAGGTTATTGTGACATCTCATGAACTTTTGCTCCCTTTTAGAGAGGAGCTCCCAGTTAGGCCCAATTATTACAAAAGGCCCCAGCTGAGATCAGAGCCCCATTGTGCTGGGTGCTGCACGAACACAGAGGGAGAGAGAGTCCCTGCCCCAAAGAGCTTCCAGTCTAAGTAAACAAGATAGGTTGGGTGAGGAGGAAACAAGCACAGAGCGGGTAAGTGACTGCCCAAGGTCATATGGCAGGTCAGCGGCAGAGCTGGAAATAGAACCCAGGTGGCCTGTGTCCCCACCCTGGTCACTACCACGCGCTGCCTGTACCACACTGCAGCTGGAGGAGAGCTTGTGTATCTGTTTTCTATATACAGAAGCTCAAAGCATCAGGGCACCCTCCAGCCATATCAGACCCTCCCCTGGGGAGCAGTTTGCTGCTGAGCCGTGCCTGGCTGCTGCCACTGAGATCCCTCTAGGGTTTTATTGCTTGCTTTGGATTGGCGGCCAGGTCGAGCTCTTTCCGGCTTGCGCACCATGGTCCAAACTGTTAACCGCATTCCGACTGCGGAATCTCTATTCCTGGGGCAGTGCGAGGCCCAGGGAGAGCCCGGCTCGACCTGCGAAGCTTGCTGGCGCGGGCAGCAAAGAGAGCAAACTATGAAACTGAGCCCGTTGTATCAGCAAGCTCCAGGGGCAAACACAGGGACCCCAGTGCTGCGCTGTCCCTTTGGTCAGAGCCCTGAGGGTCGAGCAGAACCTTGGCAGAGTTCACGGAGTCTCTTCCCAGACCCCGGGTGTAAGGTTATGAGGGCTGGGAAGTCTGTGGCCAAGCTCCTGCTGATGTCCGTGGTAGAGGATCGGGCCCTCACTCTGTGCCCCTGGGTCTGTGGTCACTGCTGTCTGCTTCTCTGCAGGTGGAGCCCAATGCCACCGTCGCCGAGATCAAGAACCTCTTCACCAAGTCCCGTACGTATGGCGTGAGCTTGCTTGTGTCGGCCCTGCCCCCCCTCTTCATCAGACTCCCACCCTCTGCTCACTGCCCCCTCCGAGTGCCGACCTCCATGGCAGTTGAGGGTGCTTAGTGCCCTGCAACACTGGGCCTTTGCACCCGAGCTGCCTGGCATGTCCCATGCGCTAGAGCAGAGCCAGGGCTCAGCTGCAATGGGCGTACGGAGGGGGCCCTTTCTCGAGGCAGCTGAGCACGGACAGACCTTGTGGTTCTCCTGACCTCGCCCCTCGCCAGTGCTGTCTAGTGTCATCCCACTGGGCCCCAGGCCTGGCCTGTGCGGCGGTGGAGCAGGCTGTGCTGTACGCCCCACGAGAGCAGGAAGGTATCGAGTATTCGGAGTGGTAAGGGGAAGGGGAAGAAAAAACAGGTTCCCACGGGAAGCCGCCACTTCTCCTGAAAAATTTTGTTTAGTCAAAAATCCAGTTTTTCGCCAACAGCCAGTTTATGATGGCAGACTTTGACCAGCTTTCTAGTGGGTAGTGAGAAACCTCTGCAGCCTGCGGCGTTTGTAGCACACCCGTCACCACAGCGTCTAGGCCTTGAGATCGCTGTGAGCGAAATGCCTCCTGTGCACTGGGCGAGCACAAAGCGTAGGCACCTCTTGTGTCTCACAGGAGTCCTCAAAATGGGGCATAGCAGGCGTCTGGGCCTTGTGCTGGCTGCCCGCACAGGGGGGCATCCCCTGGCATTTCAGTGCTTGGCCAGTGGGCTTGGAGACCCATCAACAGCGGGAGCCACCAAGGCAGGAGCCAGCCTGTCGCCTTCTGCTCTTAGCAAGGTGCCTAAGTTCCAGCTCAGCCTCGTGAGTCTCCATAACAGCAGCGTGGTTTGGTGCTGATCAGTTGGCACAGTCAGGGATTTTGGAGCCACAGGGGTGATGCCGTTGTCTCTGCTTTTCTCTCCGCAGATCCCCAGTGGTACCCAGCCCGACAGTCCCTCCGCCTTGACCCCAGTAAGTTAGAGCGCCATGTGGGTTCTGACAGCTGTCGCCGCGTCTGTTCCTAGGCGCGCCTCTCCGCTGCTGCTGATCGGGTGCCCCATGGGTGGGGAAAGCGCCTGAGGGGAACACGAGCCACAGGGGCCTGTGGGGCAGGTGCTGACGCTGTTTCGAAGGGCGAGAGATCTGGTCGACCACCAAAGGACTAGGGCTCTAGGAAGACCCAGCGTTCTGGGGAAGGGCCCTGTGGGCTTCCCAGCTTGTACACGGGGGAGAGCGAACCTCTGCGATCACAGTGCTCTGCCCTGCAGCAGGGGCGGTGGTTCATTCTCCACATGGCTTTCATGGGGGTGTCGCTGTGCTGCAGCGAACAGGAGAGCGCGGCCGTGTTTCAGGGGGCTGGGGTCACTCAAGCACGTTGCCATGGAACCAGTGCCAGGGTAGCAGATTGCATCGGCATCCCAGTTGGCGCGGCCCCCCTCCCTTTGCCCTCTCTGAGTCTCCGCTCTCCTTCCAGAGGGGAAGTCCCTGAAGGATGAGGACGTGCTACAGAACCTGCCGGTGGGCACCACGGCTACACTGTACTTCCGGGACCTGGGTGCGCAGATCAGCTGGGTGACGGTGAGCAGTGGCAAAGGTCTGCCTGAGAAAGCCCCCCCTGCCCATAGCACCCCCCTGTGCTCACAGCGCGCTCTGCCTTTCAGGTCTTCCTCACTGAGTACGCTGGGCCCCTGCTTATCTACCTGCTCTTCTACTTCCGAGTGCCCTTCATCTACGGCCCCAAGTATGACTTCACCTCCAGCAAGCACTCGGTCGTGCAGTGAGTACCCGTGACTGCGTCTGCTTAGCCTGCACTGGGGCTATGCCCTGGGATCTGGGTCTTCTCCTGAGCTGTTGGGGGCAAAGACCCTGTAGAAAACCTGAGCCCTAGGAAAACAAACAGATGGGACGTCATTGCAGACACTGGATATTTAGCACATGGACAGGCCACGGAGAGGGACTGGGAACTGCCGAGTGCTCTGAGCTGTTGCACCGGAAACCCAGTTGATTCCTGGCAGGAGGGAACAGTTTAAGATCCCCAGAGCATCTCCTTGTGGCTTATCAAGGGAGCTCTGCTTTAGACTCCAGCATGGCCCCCATCCAGCCCTGCTGGCGAGGAGCCTTCGGGGGAGCTGGCAGGTGCTCTCTGTTGGGACGCAGGGGACTTGCCTGCTCAGAAAAATTCCCTAGTGGGGAATGTACCCCCAGCCCATATCCCGGAGGCATTGGTACCCACTTGCACCCTTGTGCCTTCCCTTCCAGCCTGGCCTGCATCTGCCACTCGTTCCACTACATCAAGCGCCTGCTGGAGACCATCTTTGTCCATCGGTTCTCGCACGGGACGATGCCCTTGCGCAACATCTTCAAGGTGAGCGGGGTGGAGGGACAGCACCGGGCAGACAGCAGGGCCTGGGGGCAGGTGAAGTGAAGTGAGGTTCGGGGGCTGGGGCAGCGGCTGCCTGGGGGATCCCTTTGACTCGTCTCGTTAGTGGAGCCTGTATTAAAAGAGCATTTCCTGATTTGTCTCTAGAATTGCACATACTACTGGGGCTTTGCAGCCTGGATGGCGTATTACATCAACCACCCGCTGTACACCCCGCCAAGTAAGTGACCCCTCGCCACTGCCTTGCTGCTCTCTGTGCCCTAGAGGGCGCTGTGCGATTCCAGCCCTTCTCTCTGACTGACAGATCGCCTGAAGAGCTGTCCTTCCTTTTCCACTGCCTTACTTCAGCGCCCTCTCCCCCCCGCCCCCCCCCCCCTCCATGAAAGATGTGCGGGTATGCCACAATGCACAGCGGCTGCCGCACAACACTCCGTTTTCCCACAAGGCAGTGTGTCTGCATGGCAGGTGGAAACACTGGGATCCTACCCACCGTGCACCATACCTTTGCTGATACAACCATGTGGTCACAAGGCACAAGCAGTCGAGTGTGACCACATGCCGCAGAGATAGTTGTGTCTTAGCACTGTGCCGGCAGACCTGCCCTGGCCCAGCTGCTTAGCATAGCCAAGGTCTTAGAGACATGGGGCAAGTCCAGGCTTCAGGCTTGTCTGGCTTGTGTCTCTGCAGGACGTAGTGGTGACTCGGAGGTGTGGGTTGAGAGCACTGTCAGCCCTGAATGAAGGGGGCTGCATTGTTAACACAGGGATTTTCTCCCAAATATGCTAATGAAATAGTTGTGAGTTAGAGCAAACACAGCCCAAGCTGGGATAAATGGCTGGGAGCTGAACTCTGCCTGGGAATAGGGTGCAAACGTTTAACAAGGGGGGTAACTGTCCCGTGGAACGACTCGCTCAGCGGCACGTGGAGACTTCAAACCTTGGACGAGTTTCTCAAAGCTCCGCTGTAGCTCGGTCACGAGTTCTGGGCCAGGTGCTGGTGCAGGGGGAGGGTCTCTGGCCTGGGCTAGGCAGGGGTCAGTCTGAATGGGCAGAACGGTTCCTCCTGGCCCTGAAATCTGAGACGTCAGTTTTAAACAAATGGGCGAAAAATTGTTTCCCTCTCAGTCTCGTTTCCTTGGCATCTCTAGTCGTAAACTCCCTCACTCCCCAGCGCCCCTCTGGGGATCAGACCTGACAAGCAGCAGCCAGTGTTTTGTTTAATTAAAGGCCTTTTGTCCCTTCCTGCATCGTAAAGGGTTAAAAACCCAAATGAACAAGCCCACACTCTCCTGCTTTGCATGTCACCTTCCATCGAACCTTCCGCCACTCCTGCAGCAGCCCGTGACCTCGATTCCTTCCCTTCATCTCCATGCGCTGATATGAGTGTGGTCCAGCCGCCCCACGGCGTCTTGTACCGTACCCCCTGCCCAGCGACTTCACCCCCCTTTGCTCATTCATGTTCATTACTCTAGCTGGCTCTAACCCTGGAAGAAGTGGGCCCCCCGGGACTGCACTGCCCTCACCCTTAGAGAGGAGGGGTGAGCAGGGAAGGTCGCCGCGCTGCCCGGCTCTGGATATGCACCGGCCCTAGGGGTGTTCAGCTGGTATCTTTCATGGGCACTTAACAGATCCACCCCACCCTTGCTATGAATTTTTTGTTTCTGTCCGAGCCATTATTGCAGTAGGGCCTACGAACACCAAAGCCGCGCGCTCCCCCTGCTGACCATGTGCTAGCACGTTCCCTACGCAGACACCAAGCTCTGACTCTGTAAACCCACCCCTAGCGCCCCGTGAGATGAGTGTTCTTCCCCCCGTCCCCCGTGCCAGGCTAACCTCTGCCCTTCCCCTCCCCCACAGCCTACGGAGACGAGCAGGTCAAGCTGGCGCTCATTATATTCCTGGTAAGAACTGCCAGTGGCAGGGAGGGGAGCAGGGAAGGAGGCTGCTCAGCTGGGCTTGGGCAGGAGTGCCAAGGGGGGTACTCCGGGGGTGTGCCCACTGGAGATGGGCGTGTGTGCGAAAGTGGGGGGGAATGAGGGTGCCAGAGTGTGGGGCTGGGGAGAGGGAGGGATGAGGGTGCCAGGAGGATGGGTGGCGGGTGGCACAGCTCTGTGCTGCCACTGCAAGAGTGCTGCCAGCCAATGCCCTTCCAGGCCCACGCCCCTCTGAGCTGATGGGGGATCCTGCCACTGCAAGGGGGGTTGAACCCCCAGCCAGGGAGAGGGAAGGGGGTTGCTGGGACCCAGGGCACTGATCGCTCCTCTGCTTCCTCCCCAGTTCTGCCAGCTGGGGAACTTCTCCATTCACATCGCTCTGCGGAACCTGCGGCCGGCGGGTGAGTGGGGGCGGGGCCCCGCTGGCCCTCCAGGGCTTTAGTTGCTCAGGGGTGACCGGCCAAGGATGGTCAGTCCGAGGGCAGCCCGAGGGTGGGGGCAGGGTCTGCTTGTATCCCTGGCTGAGGTATGGGGATTGGGAGCGCGCTCTGGGTCCGGGGCATAGTCTGAGTGAGAATCTATCCCCCCATGCCCCTGGCTCCCTTCACAGAGGGTTCTCCTCCTTGCTCTCTGTCCTCCCACCTCTCCAGGGTCTTGCTAATGTTTAATGTAAGAAACACAGGAGAAAACCCCCTCTCTTCCTCAGGCCCCCTATAAGCATCCTAGGGGGCAGAGACGGGCAGCGATAGACAAGTGTCTCGCTAAACCCCCACGGCTTTCCCGGGTTGCGGAGGACACCTGCGTTCCCAGTGCAGACGCCTCCGTCTGGGCGCTGGTGGCTCCAGTGACTGGTTCATAGCAGTGTCTGGAACAGCCTGGCTGGCAGATCCTCCGTCTCCAGGCACAACCACCGTGGAGGCCTCAGCCTCTCTGGGCAGGACGTGGCACCCTGACTGGGATGTGGCTGTCCCAGATGTGTGTAGTCCCAGCAGCCGGGGAGGGGGTGGGGGAACTTTCTGAATGAGTCCTGGCCAGCCTGGCACCCTGCCTCTTTACTGCCCCATCAGCCCCATGTGTCAGATCAGCCCCGATGGTGCCCAGTGCAGCAGGGCGGGGATGGGGGAACATGCCGTTGCCTCAGGCTCCAGTGGGCTGCAGGAAGCACTGGCCTGTGTGTGAGTGGAGATCTGACGCACCACACCGGGGTGCTGCAGCAGCATCTCCCAGAACGGTGTCTGACAGGGCTGTCTCCCCAGTTCCCGACGAAAGCATTGCTCATGCGAAATAAATCATGCTGGATTTCTGCTTCTCTCCCTCCCAGGCTCCAAGACTAGGAAGATCCCATACCCCACCAAGAACCCCTTCACGTGGCTCTTCCTGCTAGTGTCATGTCCTAATTATACCTATGAGGTGAGCCCCGCCCCACCAGTCCCCCCGCCAGCAGCAAACTGGCGAGTTCCCTGAGTCAAGGACTGCCTGGCACCAGCCCGCCCTGGTCCACAGATCTTGTTCCTGGTCTCCATGAGCTGCAGCTGCCTCCCTGAGACAGGCAGCTAGAGAGTGACCTTCTATCTGCCTCCTGCTTGCTGTTAATTAATAACGAGCTTGTGTTCCTCATCCACATGGGGGCCCCAGACTCCACAAACTGTCTGTCTGTGTATGATCTCCGCTCTATTGGAACATCAGTGTTCATCCCAGAAATGCAACCGTCTCTGGGGTGGAACTCAGCAGCGGCTTGGCTTAGCCACACAGCTGAACCCGTTAGGGCAGTAAGCCAAGGAGAATGCCCTTGTCTAACTGAAACTGCAGGGGGAATTCAGAAGGTGGCAAGACTTGAATTTGACTGGGAAACCGGGAGTTAACAGCCCTGCTTTTGGGAAAAGTGTGTGTGTTAAGAAATAGCTGGGACCTCGCACCCCTAATGCTATGCTAAGACATTGGGGTCAGCCCTGACTGAGAAGGGAGAGTGCCCCCTACTCAACTTCCCACCCCACTCCCTGCCAGACGGCCCCCCCCAGTGCCACACCGGGGTCAGCCCTGACTGAGAAGGGAGAGCGCCCCCTACTCAACTTCCCACCTCACTCCCTGCCAGACGGCCCCCCCAGTGCCACACTGGGGTCAGCCCTGACTGAGAAGGGAGAGCGCCCCCGGCTGAGCTCCCCGCTCTGCTCCCTGCAGGACAGCGCCCCCTCGCACTGTACTGGGATCAGCGCTGACAGAGAGCAGAGCACCCCCGGCTGAGCTCCCCGCTCTGCTCCCTGCAGGACAGCGCCCCTATTAAATCAGCAGCAGCCATTAGCAATCACCTGTGCTCTGCCTGGCCCAGCCCTGCATAGCTCCTGGCGACATGGCAACAAATGCCCAGCTTGGCACCACCAACAAAGCCACGGGCCTGAAGCCGGCTCCAACTCGGCAGTGTTGGTGATGCTCACGAGGGGTTTGGGTGTTCAGGGGGGCTGTACCTTCAGCCAGCTCTGGGCTGCCGAGAGCGCGTCCCTTTGCTGGAGTGCCACTCACCCACCAGGAAGGGACCATTCCCTGCCCGGGCTGGCAGCCGCCTCGTGTGTGCCCAGCCACCCCTTCCTCCAACTCAACTGCTGCCAGGGCTGGGGACTCCCCATTGCTGGGGAGACCAGGTCCCCCGACTGCCCTGATCCCTGGTATAGGTGAGGGGGTGAAAGCTCCCCCTGCCAGTCCCATCATCCCCAGCACCCTTATTCCTGCCCTAGCGTCTCCCTCCCCATAGGGGGCACAGTGTGAGGGAAAGATTTCCCTTGGGAACTGGCCCCTTTGACGCCACTTTCCTTCCAGCCCCTGGGCATTAGGTCACCCCTCCAGGGGGGCACCCGCACCCCCAGTGCTGGACAGCCCCTCCCCATGAGGGTCTGAGATTGCTCAGCTCTCAGGGTCTGGGCGGGCCTGGCCTCCCTGCCATTTGAGTCCGCGTTAAGGAAGGCATGGCAGGCTCCTCACAGAGAATGCAGTAGATGCAGGCGTGCTGGGCCTGTGCCCATTCGGAGGGAGCCCTTCACCGGCTGGGCCGGAGTCCCTGCCTCCTACTGCCACGTACGCTCTGGGCATGCGGCTTGGGTTAATAATGCGTGGTGGCTGGGGGCACTGCTCTGTGTCACAGGGTCTGCAAGCCCCTGCTCACAACAGCCCAGGTCTAGCAGGGGGTTGCAGGTCAGGATAGAGGGGCACTGGCAGAGCTGGGCAGTGGAGGGAACCCAGGGTTGGGGTTGAGGGGCACTGGCAGAGCTGGGGGAGGGAAGCCCAGGGCAGGAGCAGCAGGTGGGCACTGGAATGGGGTTGCCAGCATTAAATGCATGCCTCGCTGGTGAAGTCCTGCTTGGCCGAGGCAGCAGGCTGAGGTGCCCTGCTGGAGCCCAGGATGTGCCTGTCACAGGGCCCGGGCAGAGGCCAGTCCATCTTCCCACGGTCATTCTCCCTGCCCATGAAGGCCTCAGAGCTGGGGCCTGGCAGGGGCCCTTCGCGTGGAGGCGAGTGCAGGGAGTCTTAGCGGCCGTGTCACCGTGCCCCTCCCCCTTGGGCCAGGGCTTGGATTGCACAGCTCAATTGTCTTCCCCCCCCCCTCGCCCCCTCACTCCAGCTCAGGTACGATAAAAGCCCCAACATGGGCTGCTCACCTGGGCGCCCCTAGTGGGGGGGTAGATCTGCTGCTGTGCTGCAAATGGCTCAGTGAACTTGAATGAGCGCCCCCTGTCTGTGAGTGAGCGCCACTTGCCAGGCCTGGCCTCCTCTGTGCCATGCGGGGGCGGGTTCTGCCCAGCCCCTTGCTTCCCCAGCGCTAACTGCAGCTGCTTCTCTTCCAGGTGGGCTCCTGGATCGGCTTCGCCATCATGACTCAGTGTCTCCCAGGTGAGTGCGGTGTGGGGGAAGGAGCCAGGGCACAGGGACGCCACATTGTCTCCTCACAACATCCGGGGGGCATGGGCCAGGCGGGTCTTGCCTTCTTGCTGCCAGGGCCACCTATCCCTGTTCTGTGGGAACAATAAGCCCCTACATGGCCAGCAATATGGCTCCCAGCATGTCACAGAGATCATCTCCCTCTCACAGGGGGAAACCGAGGCACAGGTAGGCCAAGGCACCTGCCCGAGCCGTTGTCGTAGACGGGGAATAGAATCCAGGAATCCTGGCTCCCAGCCCTGCCCACTTGACCACACTCAAGGAGTTTGGTGGGTGTCAGCCCAGTTCCTGGCTGGCCGGATGAGCTGGGTTCACAGCCCGGCTCCCTGCACTCGAGGCTCGTCCTGGTGCCCAGCACTGAGGGACCCGCCCCGGTCTGCGGGGAGTAGGCAAAGCAAAGACTGCAGCGTGAGCTGCCCTGCAGCCGAGGTGTGAGCTGCTTTCCCTGGCATTCGCTGGCTGCCTTTTCCCGGGAGTGGCACCGCCCAGGGGCCTCCAGCCTATCAGGCGGGAGCCCCCTGCTGCTTCCTCGGGGAAATGCAGGTACCTCATCTTGTGCAACATCTGGTTCTTGGTCCCCTTGGAGGGGGGGGGGGGAGCCAGTGGTGGGGGCTGGCCCGAGGGGGCAGCTCTCATTTTAGGCCCGAGCCGAACCAGATCCAGGCCCAAGTGAGTCGAGTCCTTTTTCCAACCTGACCTAACCTGACCCTTCGCCCTGAACCTGAGTCAGTGTCGCTGCCTCCTCCAGCCGGGAGCGGGAGAGGTTGGCTGTCAGCTGGGCCCAGGGCACTTGGCACCATGACTGTGAACCTGGGTCCTGCCAGCCCTTACTGCAGTGTGAGAGGCGCTGTGACTTGTGGGTGCCCGCACAGCACAGCGAGGAGCGGGCCCCGGGGCACGCAGTCATGCCAACCCCCGTGGCAAGAGGAGAGCTGACCCGCAAGGTCCTATTTACCTACCCAACCCCTGGGGGGGGGCCAAGGGAGTGCCCCCCCTAAATTCCTCACCGCTTTCCTCTCTGCCCACAGTGGCCCTGTTCTCTCTGGTCGGCTTCATCCAAATGACCATCTGGGCGAAGGGGAAGCACCGTAGCTACCTGAAGGAGTTCCGGGACTACCCACCCCTGCGCTCGCCTATCGTCCCCTTCCTGCTCTGAGCCGTGGGGGCTGCTGGGGCTTCGTGTATCTGTGCAGTCCAGGGAGGAGCCCACCCCCCACATCTGGCCAGCTGGCACAGGGCTCGGGGGAAGCTGCGCAAACTCACCCAACTCCTCACTGCTGGGTTTCTGCAGCTGCCCCTGTGCTCCCTTGGGGGGGGCCACCCCCACCCCCCCCAGGGAAGCCAACACCCAGCCCTGCTCAGGGCCGATGCTCTCCTCCCGCTGCGCCATGCACCCAGATCTACAGCCCTGCCTAACTGGAAATTAACCCAGGGAGAAGCTGGAGCTGCCTGTGGCTGGATGCAGCCACTCAGAGCTGTGGCCTGGAGGGAAGGACCCTGGCCCCAGGCACCTGCCAACGCAGCCTGATCCCAGAGGGGCTGAGCGCTCGTGCCCCCGGTGGAGCTGGTGGGAGTGGCAGGTGCTCAGCCCCACCGGAGACCAGGTACCAGCTCAGGATCATAGGTGCCTCCTTTCAGGCTCCTGAGCAGGAAGAGAACTCCTTTCCTGGGTCACATCTCCACGGCAGGGCCTCAGGGGGCGAGTCCTGGGCTGGGGCATGGGCCCTGTTCAGCACCCCTCTCCTTCGAAAGCTGCCCAGGGGCTGCTGCAAGACACAGCTGGGCTCTGGCTTCTGCCCTGCACCCCAGGCTGCTGGTAGCTGAGGCTGGCAGGGTCTGGTCAGGCCCCCAGCCCCAGGCTGCCTTTCCCATGTGCCCTGCTGGCCCAGCTGTTAAGGGCATCAGACCCATGGGCAGCGAGTTTGCAGATGAGTCTGTTTAGAATGGTGCTGGCACAAGCGGGAGTCAGGACTAAGGCATGTTGGGGGGGGTGGTGGTGGTGTGGGGCAGAAGTGAGCCAGGAGTGGGGTGACGAGAGAAAAGGGAAGGGCACTAGCACTGTGTAGGGAAAGCCAGGGGCAGCAGGTCAGGAGTGTGGGGCACTGGCAGGGCTGAGGGGGCAGGGGCAGGCTTGAGGGGCAGTAGCAGGGCTGTGGGGGGGAGCTCAGCTGGCAGCTGCTTGACTCAAGCCAGCACCGTTAATTGTAAGCACAGTAAAGTTTTTTCTTTTGTACCATTCTTCTGTTCCGTACTTCCCCGGGCTGCTGAGCGGCTGCCCTGGCCCGCCGGCCCAGGCTGTAGCTCAGGCCTGGCTCTGCCGGGATGGCAGGGGGCAGAGCAGGCTATTCTAATAAAGACGTGGGGTGAGGCCCTTCCTGGGCCCAGCCCAACTCCCTCCTGCACTGGCTCCTTGGCAGCTTCTGTCTCCTTTGCTCTTACTGCGTGTGACTGCGGGGGAGAGAGGGGCGGCCCTAACTTCCCTGCCCTGGGGGCTTGGCGCATGTTGGACAGGGCACAGGGCCCTGCGGGGAGGGCTGGGCTAGGTCACCCATCACTGGGAGGAGTCCTGGGGTCCCAAGGAGAGAAACCAAGGGGGCAGGGAGGGCAGAGACTGGCCATGGGCCAGGCTCTCCTCTCTGAATGGCTACCCCTGGAGCTCTGCGTCTCCCAGGGGGGCTGTGCCTAGGACAGGGGCCGCCCTGGGTGCCACCACACCTTCCACTGCAGCATGAACACACCACTGCCCCCGTGCCCAGGATTCCCTGCCGCTGAGCCAGGCTCGCTTCCTTAGGCCGCTACCCAAGTAGGACTGAGAACGGCCCTGCCCCAGCACAGGAGCTGCAGTGAGCCTCTGCCCAAGCGTGTGTCCAGGATCGTTCTCCCTGTCCAAGTGCCAGCAATAAACCAAGCCAGCCCCTGTCCAGCCACGTCTTATTGCTCCCCCCACCTCGACAGAGGGGATCAGCGGGGCTCCAGGTGTGTGGGGTGCTCTTTGCACAGCCACTCCCCCTGTCACTGAATGGCAGGCACTGCACCCCACCTAAGGGCTGGTGCCATCTATTGCCCCCTGCACCCAGCCATACAGCACAGCTGGGGAGGGGCAGCTCGGGTTTCTTTGTACACAGCAGCGACTCGTGCCCATTGCCCAAGCCACTCTGCCCTCTGCTGCTGGCAGACGTCTCTCCAGCGTGTGGGGAAGAGAGCAAGAAAACAAGCCCCATGGGTAGGTGCAGCACACCCTAGATTCTCCAGAGCTGTAGAAGTCCAAGCAGCTGCCAGCATACTGCCCCCAAAGGGCAGGGGTGTGACAAATCCTGCCCCCCCCATAGCTGTGCCAACCTAACCCCCGTTGTGGACACAGCTAGCGTGACTGTCACTCCCTGGCTGTAGCGCGTGTTGCCGTTACAGGGCTGAAGCTGTGCCATGGCAGCACGGACATGGCCTCAGCCCCAAAGCTCCCCAGACGGACAGCAGCGAGCGTGAGCAGGCTCCCCGCAAGGAGAAGGGGCAGCGGGTAGATTCCCAGCACTGGCTGCCAGGGCAGGAACTGAGCCAAGCCCCGTGGGAGCTGGAACTCACAGCAAAGAGCCCGAGCGCGTCTGGCGCTGTCTGAGCCCAGCGGAGCTCGGCCGTGCTGAGGGTCAGAACTCGGCAGCCATAGGGTGCTGCACACGTGTCGCAACCACACACACTCCATCCCTGGGAGGGAGCCGAGCATCACCCTGCTCACAGAGGGGGGAGAAGGTGGGGGTAGCCCAGGGACGCCTGGCTCTAGTCCCTAGACCCTATCCCCCTCCCAGAGCAGGACCACCACCCAGGAGCAGTGTTCCCTCTAATATTTTACATCCATGTACGGAATGAATTTTGTTATGTGCACCAATATAGAGGTGATTGGTGCACATAACAAAATTCATGCGGGGGTGGGGCCGAGGGGTTCGGACTGTGGGAGGGGGCTCAGGGCTGGGGCAGAGGGTTGGGGTGTGCAGGCTCTGGGGTGGGGCCAGGGATGAGGGGTTTGGAGTGGGCTTAGGGCTGGGGCAGAGGGCTCCGGCTGGGGGTGCAGGGTCTGGGGTTGAGCCGGGGATGAAAGGCTTG